TTGATTGACTTACATTACTAAGGCCCCCCTTCTTTAACCAATTTCTCTCTGGACACCTTTTTTTTGCTCTCCAAGCTAACAATCTTTTTTGTATCTTTTTTTTGCCGGTATGTGTCACAATGTGGATATCACTATTTTAATATCCATAGATTTCTTGCTTTCCTATCAATCCTTCGTTGGACTTCAGCCTCGTCATTTGCCTAACCGTTTTTTCTCAACATACTTCCACGACTTAAAGAGAGAGTGTGACAGAGCCATAGAGAGAGAGGGAGAGAGAGAGAGAGAGAGAGAGAGAGAGAGAGAGAGAGAGAGAGAGAGAGAGAGAGAGAGAGAGAGAGAGAGAGAGAGAGAGAGAGAGAGAGAGAGACAAACAAGCTTTGCGAGAAAAAGAAACAAAATGAAAAATGATTAGGATTCCAGGGACGTAATTTGTAGAACAGATAAACACACGTCCACGCTGGTTGCATCCCTTCTTACATTACCTAATTCTCGAAGTTTCCATAGTATAAAAAACAAACCCTCAATGCGATGAATCTACGCCTCTTCAAGTGAGATGAACTAAAATTAAGACGAAGATACACAATTCTTTAAGTGCAAGTAAAAGAGAAGTCCATGCATATACATGTATATATGTAAAACTGTCAAGAAGCTTTATGAAAGCATAACTAGACACATACATGAAGAAACAACAGAGGATTTGACAAATAACAACTAGAGTAACATGAAGATTTGAATAGGAGCAATAGTAACACAGGCATACATGCACTCAGGAAGTTAGAAAAAGAAACATTAAAAACACACATTCACTCAATAAAACACCCATCCACACATCCATCCACACACACACACACACACACACACACACACACACACACACACACACACACACACACACACACACACACACACACACACACACACACACATCCACACACATCCACACACACACACACACACACACACACACACACACACACACACACACACACACACACTCACACACACACACACACACAAACACACACATACACACACGCACAAACATAGACACAGGCACAAATGCTCGCACACGGTTGTACATGAAGGCAATGTTTGGTCATTGTGTCAACCGTTGTATTTTTGTGAAAGATTCCATGCCATGTAACTTTTGATTGGTTACTATTAGACAATTATTTGCCTGTGAAATTCACTTTATCTTAGACTTAGGAAAAAGATATAATATGATGTCGGTGCAGCCTCAAAAGGGTGTGACAATTGGAGTTTTGTAGTAGTAATTCATCCAAGTATGGGAATGTAGATGTTGAAATTTTGCGTGCATTCCGTACTACTACTACTACTACTACTACTACTACTACTACTACTACTACTACTACTACTACTACTACTACTACTACTACTACTACTACTACTACTACTACTACTAGTACTACTACTACTACAACTACCACTACCACCTCCACCACCACCATTCCGTATTAATCGATTTAATTTTTCCTCATCTTGTTGTCTTGTGTTCCACGCCCATGCTGTTATACAAACATTGATCATACTTTCTATGGTTGAATGATAGAATATGGACATCAAAGTTATATCAACTTTAAAATACATTCCTTGGAAAAAATAGTCTTTTGTTCACTTTTTTTTATGCAGGAGAGAAGTGTGGACACGCCAGTTGAGTTTGTTGGTATTCTTGCAACATTACACTTCAATGGAAGACTACTACTACTACTACTACTACTACTACTACTACTACTACTACTACTACTACTTTCAATAGTACTTTCAGTATTCATGTATAATCAAAATAACCAACCATATTATTGTATGAACACTGTGTGACAACATCTAACGTGGACATTAGCGCCCTGTTGTAGCCGTGTTTTGATTCAGCCTCAGGGTGCATTTTGCTCTGGAAAGGACTCCAATTCCTGTAAACAGGGTGCAGAGACGATGGCAGGGGCAGATTATAAAGACTGTTAGTCTTTCTTACACTCCTTCGTCAGTCTGTGTGTCTGTCTGTGTGTCTGTGTGTCTGTCTGTCTGTCTGTCTGTCTGTCTGTCTGTCTGTCTGTCTGTCTGTCTGTCTTTCTCTTTCCGTCTTTTTCATTTTTTTCTTTCATCTCCCCCACCTCCTCTGTTTCGCTATCTTCAAAATAAAGTTTATTGAAATGAAGTCTTGGAACATATTCTTAAAGGGCTTGGGATTTAGAGGCTCAATATAACAAATATTACCGGAATTGTAAAAAGACTGACAGCAGCACAGACAGGTTGTATGGACACGTAATGCATAGACCTAGAGAGAGAAAGAAAGAGAGGAGGAAAGTGGGTGGGTGGGGTGGTGATCTATTAGTGACTAGAGAAGAGAAAAGGAAGGGAGGTCGGAATGTTTTGCTTTTGCTTCCTAGTACTCTCCTAAAGCTTTCTAGGCAACATAATATCAAGTGGCAGTTTCTTACGGTTTGATAATGTTTAGACGGGTCAAGCCTTAATCTAACAGCCGATAAGACTGGACAAAATGAGCAGAGATTCTAGGATAAATTCCTAAGTAGCGAAGCTAAAAATAAACTTTTTCTTTAGTGTAGAAACCATATAAATGACGAACACATTTTTTTATATGGTAGGTTTTTGAGAGGGACTGAGAGACAGAGAGAGAATGAAAGAGAGGGACAGAGGGAGAGATAGAGATAGCAAGAGAGGGACAGAGAGATAGATGGATAGATAGATATATAGATAGATAGATAGATAGAGAGAGAAAGAAAGAGAGTGACAGAGAGAGAGAGAGAGAGAGAGAGTGACAGAGAGGGAGAGAGACAGAGAGAGTGAGAGAGATATAGATAGATAGATAGATAGATAGATAGATAGATAGATAGACAGAGAGAGAGAGAGAGAGAGAGAGAGAGAGAGAGAGAGAGAGAGAGAGAGA